ATTTTTTATTTAATTGAAAACAAAAGCACAATGCAAAAAGCATATAATAAAAGAAAAAAAAATACATGTAAACACAGGGTGGGATAAAAAAATCTGCAACAAAGTCAAACGCCATAATTTTTACATTTTTTTTTTTAAATTTTATCGAATGAAAGCAAAAAATGTCGAAAATAGCATCAAATTTTAGAAAAAGTTTAGAATAGTTTGAAAAAAAAAACTGCAACGAAATCAAACGCCATAATATTTACATTTTTTTTTAATTTTTTTTTTATTTTTTTTTAAATTTTTTTTAAGTTTTAAGAATAAGTTTAGATTGGTTCGAAAAATCACTGCAACAAAGTCAAACGCCATAATTTTTACATTTTTTTTTTTTAAATTTTTTTTTAATTATTTTTTTAATTTTTTTTTTTTGAATGAAAGCAAAAAATGTCGGTAATAGCATCAAATTTTAGAATAAGTTTAGATTGGTTCGAAAAAAAAAATGAACAAAGTCAACCGCCATAATTTTAGTTTTTTTTTTAATTTTTTTTTAATTTTTTTTTATTTTTTTTAATTTTTTTTTTTTTAATTTTTTTTTTTAAATTTTTTTTATTGAATAAAGCAAAATATGACGAAAATAGCATCAAATTTTGGAATAAGTCAAACGCCATAATTTTTACATTTTTTTAATTTCTTTTTAATTTTTTTTATTATTTTTTTTAATTTTTATTGAATGAAAGCAAAAAATTTCGGAAATGGAATTAAATTTTAGAATAAGTTTAGATTGGTTCGAAAAAAAAAAAACACTGCAACAAAGTCAACCGCCATAATTTTTTAATTTTTTTAATTAATTAATTTTTTTAAAAAAAAAATTAAAAATTATGGCGGTTGACTTTGTTGCAGTGTTTTTTTTTGTCGAACCAATATAAACTTGTTCTAAAATTTGATTCCATTTCCGAAATTATTTGCTTTCATTCAATAAAAATTAAAAAAAAATAAAAAGAAATTAAAAAAATTTTTAATTTTTTTTAATTGAAAGCAAAATGCAAAAAGCAAATAATATTTAAATATTTTTTAAATTTTATCGAATGAAAGCAAAAAATGTCGGAAATACCATCAAATTTTAGAATAACTTTAGATTGGCTCGAAAAAAAAAAAAAAAACTGCAACAAAGTCAACCGCCATAATTTTTATTTTTTTATTTTTTTTAATTTTTTTTTTAATTTTTATTGTATGAAAGCAAAAATGTCGAAAATAGCATCAAATTTTACAATAAGTTTAGATTGGTTCGAGAAAAACACTGCAACAAAGTCAACCGCCATAATTTTAACATTTTTTTTTTATTTTTTTTTAATTTTTTTTTAAATGGATGCAAAAAATGTCGGAAATAGCATCAAATTTTAGAATAAGTTTAGATTGGTTCGAAAAAAAAAATGCAACAAAGTCAAAGGCCATAATTTATACATTTTTTTATTTTTTTAATATTTTTTAAATTTTTTATTGAACGAAAGCAAAAACTGTCGGAAATAGCATCAAATTTTAGAAGAAGTTTAGATTGGTTGGAAAAAAACTGCAACAAAGTCCATTTTTTAAATTTTTTTTTTTAATTTTTTTTAAATATTTATTTAAATTTTTTTTTAATGAAAACAAAAAAATTCCGAAATAGCATCAATTTTCTTTCTGTTGCGGTGTAAGTTCTTACACTTTCTTTAATTTCAATGGCTTTACCCCGGAATATTGGGATATGTTCAGCTATATATATATATATATATATATATATATATATATATATATATATATATATATATATATATATATATATATATATATATATATATATATATATATATATATATATATATATATATATATATATATATATATATATATCCCTTCCTCCATAATTTGTTTATCCACATCTCAGAAAATTTATCTGCCACCCGACGGAGCATGCGTCGTCGTCATATGCACAAGACGACCTTGTCTAATGACTAATATTAAATTTTTAATTAAAAAAAAAAGAAACGAAAATCTTCTGCTACGCCTTCATGGCATGATTTCCGCAAAACAAAGTAAAACATAAACAAAATGCAAACTCTTGCCAAAGAAAAAAAGACGTGGATGAAAATTAGTTAAAATTAAAATTTATGTTTTTACCAATTTAATGCCATAAATAATAATTTGCAAAATATGTGCGGGAGTAGGAAATTGAAAAAAATGCTTAATGACTAATTAAAGGTGAGGTGGTAGTCGAGAAAATGGCAATAAAATTGAAAATAGACAATTAATTTAAGGCGAAGATTTTCGGTTTTAAATTTCAAGTGTAAATATAAGTGGGGATCTTGAGGTATAAATACAAAAGACTTGAGATTAAGGCATCCAAAACTTCATCAGAGACAGGCCAGCAATGGACGAGACTTTTTTCTATTACGAAAAAATTCATTGAATCTTAGATTTTTTGATATTTGATGAATTTTCTATTATTTTTCGAATTTTAAAATTTACGTTTTTTATATTTCTTTCTGGGTTTTTATTTGGCTTGAGGTCAGAATTTAAAAAACAGACGGATTTGTTTTTCATATTTTAATTTATTTTTCCGATATTTCGACTATCTTCGATATTCAGCATCAGGGAGTTTAATTGGATTTTATCTCTTATTTTTTTAATTTTTTTTAAGTTCTACGATGCAGCTTCTCCATCCTTTTCTTTTTATACGAAATTTCCAATTTTTTTTTAATATTTTTTATATGTCGATTTAGCGATTTCCGTCCGCCTGTTCGTCTGTGGAAATCACTCTAGCCTCCGAACGAAATTAAGTAGGTTAATAAAATTTTAGTCTAATGTGTATTATGATTGCAGGACTTTCGGTATTGAAAATGGGCCATGTAGGTCCTCGTTTTGGTATAGCCCCCATATAACGGTACCTCCCGATATTCGGTATTTTGATGATTTCAGCGACATTATTTACCGGAATTGTTTAAAAATTGGTATTAGAAGTTTGAAAAAAAAAATACTACAGCCTATGACTGAAAATTGTCTGTGCAGGTCCACGTTTTCGTATAGCCCCCATATAACGGTACCTCCCGATATTCGGTATTTTGATGATTTTAGCGACATTATTCACCGGAACTGTTTCAAATTTGGTATTTGTAGTTCGGAATGGATAATACAGCCTATGCCAGAAAATTGTCTCTGCGGGTCAACGTCTTCGTATAGCCCCCATACAACGGTACCTCCCGATATTCGGTATTTTGATGATTTCAGCGACATTATTTACCGGAATTGTTTAAAAATTGGTATTAGAAGTTTGAAAAAAAAAAAAAAAAAAAAACAAAATACTGCAGCCTATGACTGAAAATTGTCTATGCAGGTCCACGTCTTCGTATAGCCCCCATATAACGGTACCTCCCGATATTCGGTATTTTGAAGATTTTAGCGACATTATTTACCGGAATTGTTTCAAATTTGGTATTTGAAGTTCGTACTGGATACAGCGTATGTCAGAAAATTGTCTGTGCAAGTCCACGTCTTCGTATAGCCCCAATATAACGGTACCTCCCGATGTTCGGTATTTTGATGATTTTAGCGACATTATTCACCGGAATTTTTTCAAATTTGCTATTTGAAGTTCGTACTGGATACTACAGCCTATGACAGAAAATTGTCTGTGCGGGTCCACGTCTTCGTATAGCCCCCATACAACGGTACCCCCGATATTCGGTATTTTGATGATTTTAGCGACATTATTTACCGGAATTGTTTTAAATTTCGTATTTGAAGTTCGTAATGGATACTACAGCTTATGTCAGAAAATTGTCTGTACAAGTCCAGGTTTTATAACCCCCATGGTACCTCCCCATATTCGGTATTTTGATGATTTTAGCTACATTATAAACAGATTTTTTTTTCAAGTTTCGCATTTGAATATTGTAATAGCTTGATAGATAAAAGTTGCCTATTCAGGTCCACGTCGTCGTATAGACCCTAATATGCGGCTACATTCGGTATTTTTAAGATTTTAATAGATTTTATTTTTTTGAAAATTGCCAAATTTGTACCAAGTTGTGGAAGGTATTAAAAGTTCGGCCCGGCAGAACTTAAAACTTTTTTACTTGTTTTTTTTTTTTAAATAATTTTTCTTTTTTAATACTATTGAAGATTTCCAAACTTTTATAAAAAATAATGAATTTTTGGCTTTAGATTTCTATGTTTCCTTAAAAAATTATGAAATATTTTGTCTCAGATTTTTATATTTCTTGAAAAAAAAAATTATGGAATTTTTGGTCTCAGTGTTAAAGCAAACTGTCATGAGTCTCTGATTTATTTTTATCGACAAACATGAGTCTTCAATTTTATTTTTTTTAAATTCAAAATTTCAATCATTTCCTCACTTCAAATTAATATTCATTAATTCATGTTTATGCTTTCTATGAAACAAAGTGAAAAAAAAAAACATATTTTCAAATCCAAATATTTGTCATCAATTAATTATTTATGCGAAGCAAAGCAAAGGAAGAAAATGAAAAGAAGAAACAATGGAGAAAGAAAGAACAAGAAGAACAAGAAACGAAGAAGTCTAGACCAGTTTTGAGGTGGTGGCATTTTATGAAAAAACAGAGACTTCACCGTTGATTCTTTGGCTTGGCGTAGCTGTTAATTTGCATTGAAATTTTAATAACAAGTTTGGGTCTTAAGTCTTTTGTTTTTTTTTTCTCTGGTTGTGGGCCAGCCAGCAAAACATAGAAATAAATGCTGCACCTATGCTGTGGATTTGGCAACATATTTGAAAAAAATAATTGTTGTTGTTGCGATTGTTGTTGTAATTGTTATTGTTGTTTTTGCATATGTTCCTACCACCAACTCAATGAGCATTCTTTGGCATAGTTCTCCATAAATCATCAACATTTTAAGGTTAGGCTTTGAGTGCAATTGTTGTTGTTTTATTTCTGTCTCTTTATTGTGGGTAGCCCAAATGTTAATTATTGTTTTATTTATTTATTTTTATTTTATTTTTTTTTCAGAGCCATGTCTTCATTAAAACTAAACATTTAGTTTAAATTGTTTTGCCACAAAACACCACCATCGCCACCATCATCAGCATCATCATTTAACAGGACAAACGAAACTTCACATCCCTGGGAGAGTTGAAAGCGAGGATTCTTCGTGAAAATGGATTGGTCTGAGGGTGATCTGGTGTGGTTTGATCCCGGTGTGGGTCATCCAATACCGGGTGAGATACAAGAGGTACATCGGGCTGCCCAGGTCATTGTGGTCCAAGCTGTCATCAAGGGCAAGGTGAGTAGTAATGAAATTAAAAAAATAGAGAGAGAGTGGAAAAGAGAAAGAGAGAGAGAGGAAAATGGAAAGAGAGAGAGGAAAAGAGAAAGAGAGGAAGAGAGGGAAAGAGATAGAGGAAAAGAGAAAGAGAGAGAAATATGAAAATATAAAGAAAGAGAGGAAAAGAGAAAGGGAGAGAGATGAAAAGAGATAGAGAGAGAGAGGAAAAGAGAGGGAGAACATATGTCTGAAAATCAGTGAAATCAATGATGAGCATAACTAAATTGAGAGTGAGTGTATTAGGGTAATTGAGAATTCATTATCAAAAATCGGTGATGAAAAGAGAAAAAAGAGAATACACGTCAGCGCTGCTCAAGAAAAATATCTCTTTCCAGTCAAATTTCTCTTTGCGTATTTAAATCAAGAACAAAACAGTGTTAATTCATTATTTATACAAATATTTTTTTCCATTTGCTTTAAATTTTGTGGCAAAAATTCATATTTAAAAACAAATAAAAAGAATCGTAAAATATAAAGAAAAACAGAATTTTAATTTTCTCTTAAATTATCTCTTTTTTCGGCTTATGTTTTAGAACACGGTTTAGAGCAGGGCTGATACACGTAGAACCAGTGCCACCAAAGCATAAATGGGCAAAATAACGAAAGAAATATTCTTAAGAGAATTTTGAAATAACTTTCCTTCGTTGAGTTTTAATTAATTGAATAATTTTTTAGCGAAAATATAATCAAACCAAAAAGTTCAAAAATTATTTTATAAAAAACCAGTAAAAAAGTCTTAAAGTCGGGAGGGGCCGACTTTATGATACCCTACACCACTTTGCTAATTTAGTAGAGCTCCACATAACAATTAAAATTTTTTATGGGAGAATCCGATCATACACGCTATGATTATAATTATAATTTAAAGTTCAAAGGGCTAAATGTGCATTATAGGTATTTCTATCTTTTAAATTCGGACTTGTATTGGCCATTTGGTGCACAATTAATTTGAAATCGGATAAAGATATATATAGGAGCTATATCCAAATCTGAACCGATCTCGATAAAATTTAGCAAAGGTGTTTCTGAGCTGTATTTCATCTATTTCCCTGAATATCGTTGTTACGGAGTGCATATTACGGTTGTGGATAAGAAATATAACAAAACGGATGAACAATATATATGGGAGCTGTAGCCATATCTGAACCGATCTTCACCAAATTTTACATACTAGCTTCTAGACTCAATTCGGTCGTAAGTGCCAAATTCCATCCCATTTGGACAAGTAGTAGACGTTTGGTGCACAATAAAAGGTAAATCGGACGAAGTTATATATGGGAGCTATATCCAAATCGGAACCGATCTCGATAGAATTTGGCAAAGATATTTCTGAGCTGCATTTGCTATATTTCCCCAAATATTGTTGTTACAGAGTGCATATTACGGCTGTGGGTAATAAATATAACAAATCGGATGAAAAATATATATAGGAGCTATAGCTATATCTGAACCGATTTCGATCAAATTTGACATACTAGCTTCTAGACTCAATTCGGTTGTAAGTGCCAAATTCCATCCCATTTGGACAAATATTAGACGATTTGTGCACAATAAAAAGTAAATCGGACGAAGTTATATATGGGAGCTATAGCTATATCTGAACCGATCTTCACCAAATTTGACATACTAGCTTCTAGACTCAATTCGGTCGCATGTGCCAAATTCCATCCCATTTGGACAAATATTAGACGTTTGGTGCACAATAAAAGGTAAATCGGACGAAGTTATATATGGCAGCTATATCCAAATCGGAACCGATCTCGATAAAATTTAGCAAAGGTATTTCTGAGTTGCATTTGGTATATTTCCCCAAATATTGTTGTTACAGAGTGCATAGCATGGCTGCGGAGGACAAAAATAACAAATCGGATGAACAATATATATGGTAGCTATAGCTATATCTGAACCGATTTCGATCAAATTTGGCATACTTATTTTCAGGCCTAATTTGCTTGTACGTGCAAAATTCCATACTATTCGGGCTGATATTACACGTTTGGTGCACAATAAAAGGCAAATCGGACGAAGATATATATGGGAGCTATATCTAAATTTTCACCGATTATCTCCAATTTCAATAAGGTTCGTCCTTGGACCAAAAAAATGATTTGTGCAAAGTTTCATTTCGATAGGGCAATAAATGCGAACTGTACTTTGTTTACAAAAATACATGGACAGACGGACGGACAGACAGACTATACAGATCATCAAAAGGAACTATGGGTCTATCTCGTTTCCTTTTGCCTGTTACAAACAAATGCACAAAGACATAATACCCTGTGGTGTAGGGTATACAAATTGTAGAAAATTATTCGGACATGTCTGTCTGTTAATGTTTTACTCCTGACAGAGAAGAAGACATCGCAACGCTAGCGTGCAGTCTAACACATCAATGTCGAAATATTAACGAAAATTGGAAAAGCTCTCATCCCCCTTAACTACAAATTGACCAAAATTTCACATAATTTTGTTGTAGTTGTTGTTGTCGAAAATTGTCAAAAATGTTTATTTTCTAGTTTATGACGTGCCACGATTTATGAATGAAACGTTTGATTAACTGAATGAATGGCTTTGTGTGGGGCTTCAATTTGTTTTGTTGTTGTTTTTTGTTTTCGTTTGTCAAGTGAAACTAATTTTTTGACCAAATATGTTTGACACACACACGCGCCCGCACATACACACAGATGCATAACAGCCAAATTTGTCAGAAATTTCAAAAAACAAATGAACATTGGAATTTGAAATATGCCATTGAATTGAGTTGTTCGATGACAAATAGGTGGAGCTAATCATAACCTTCTCTACGGCAAACAGGGTGATTCGTATGATTCGGTTTTATACCCTTAGCCATGTGGCCTCATATGAGCCTCATCGAGAAAACGGTTTTAGAACCTTTTCCTCTTTTGACCAAATTTGTTTTCAGGGCATTTGGGGTGTCCGTCCGTCTCTCTGGCTGGTTGGTGCGAACGATAACTCTCGAAGGGAGTAGCCGATTTGGTTCAAACTTGCTACATCGTAATATTATTATCAAATATACGTCGAGTTCGGAGATGGACAATATAGGCCCACTCCTTCTGGTACCTCCCCACAAAATTTCAAAATTTTCACAGAAAATAATTTATCTTTTAGAACAATGAAGGTTCATCCAATTTTGTGCAAACTTTGCAGATCCTAATATTTTTATCAGTTCTATGTCAAGTACGAAAATGGACAAAATCGGAACACTCCATCAAGTACCTCCCCCACAAAGTGTTAAAATTTAGGATAATTATAAATTTTAAAAAATGTGAAAGGAAGGGTTCGGTTGTCTTGAAATTTGGAAAATCCCAATAAATTTATCAATAAAATACCTGGTGTGAAGATGAGATATATAGGTCTACTCCTTGAGGTACCTCACCCACAGCGGGTCAATATTTTTGAATAACTAAGAAGCCTATAAAACGTGAAATGACCATGCGATACTTTTCAAACTCAGCAAATCGAAATATTTTTACCAACAGAAGTTTTAGTGGGGAGATAAGATACATTGGTCAACTTCTTCAGGTACCTCCCCCACAACGGGTCAAAATTTTGAATATTCATTACGCTCATAAAATGCGAAGCGATCATTCAATTCTTTTCAAACTAGGCACATCGCAATATTTTTGTCAACACAAGATCCGGTGTGAAGATGAGATATATCGGTCAACTTCTTCAGGTACCTCCTCCACAAAGGGTTAAACATTTGAAGTAAGCAAAACGCTTATAAAATGCGAAATGATCATCCGATTTTCTTGAAATTTCACACAACCCAATATTTTTACTGACACAAGATCTGTTGTGAAGATGGGATATGTCATCCCACCCCTTCTGGTACCTCCCCCACAAGGGTTCAAATTTTGAATAACCAAAGCGCTCATAAAACGCGAAGCGAACATCCGATTCTTTTCAAACTCGGCATATCTCAATATTCTTATCAACGTAAAATCTGTTGTGAAAATGGGATATATTGGCCTACCCCTTCTGGTACCTCCCCCACAAAGGGGTCAACATTTTGAATATTTATAACTCCCATAAAATGCAAAATAAGCCTCCGATTCATTCTAAACTTCACACATTACAATATTTTAACCAATATAGGACTTGGTGTGAAGATGGTAGATATAGGCCCACCCCCTCTGGGACCTCCTCCACAAAGGCGTCAAATTTTTGAATAATCAAAACGCTCATAAAATGCCAAGTAATTATCCGATTCTCTTGAAATTCCGCACATCCGAATATTTTTAGCAACTTAAGATCTGGTGTGAAGAAGGTTGGTATCGTTCCACCCCCTCTGGTACCTCCCCCACAAAGGGGTCAAAATTTTGAATTACCAAAACACCCATAAAATACGAAATAAGCATCCGATCCTCCTAAAATTGTACACATGTCAATATTTTTAGTAACACAAGATCTGGTGTAAAGATGGTAGATATCGGCCTTACCCTTCTGGTACCTCCCCCACAAAGGGGTTAATTTTTTTAAAAACCCAAAACGCTCATAAAATACGAAATAAGCATGCGATCCTCCCAAAATTTTACACATCTCAATGTTTTTATTAACACAAGTTCTGGTATGAAGATGGTAGATTTCAGCCCACTCCTTCTGGTACCTCCCCCACAAAGGGGTTAAAAATTTTGTATAACCCAAACGCTCATAAAATACGAAATAAGCATCCGATCCTCCCAAAATTTTACACATCTTAATATTTTTACTAACACAAAATCTGTTGTGAGGATGGGATATGTCAGCGTACCCCTTCTGGTACCTCCCCCACAAAAGGGTTAATTTTTTGAAAACCCAAAACGCTCATAAAATGCCAAGTAAATATCCGATTCACTTGAAATTCCGCACATCCCAATATTTTGACCAACTCAAGATTTGGTGTAAAAATGGAATATATTGGCCTACTCCTTCTGGTACCTCCCCCACAAAAGTGTTAATTTTTTGAAAAAACAAACCGCGAATAATGCGAGCAACAAGCATCCGATTCTCTTGAAATTCCGCACTTCCCAATATTTTTAGCAACTGAAGATCTGGTGTGAAGGTGGTAGATATCGGTCCACTCCTTCTGGTACCTCCCCCACAAAAGGTGTCAACATTTTCATTACTTATATCTCTCATAGAGAAGACTTTCAAAATCCAATTGCTAAATAAGTCAGGATTTTTTCCAGATTAATTTTTTCTGGGATTCTTTAAGAAAACCCCTAAAACAACAACACCAACAAATCCATGATTGTTCCATCCATCATTTGGTAATAGAAAATATGACAATTTTCTGGTTTATCAAGATTACCAATGACAGTTAATTGTAATTTGTTGTTGGCGATTTTTTTTCATCTTCTTCTGCTGCTGCTGCTGCTCAAACAAAGGCTATCTATGGCCGGCCAACCAGTTGGGTGGATGTTCAATGTTAGTGGCATCATCATCATCATCAGCAATGTGACCAAACATGTTCCAGAGCCACCAACACACACACACAGTCACATGTGATTGCTGGCCAATTGCTGTAGCTTCCATGCGTGCCTGTGTGTGTGTGTGTGTGTGTGTGTGAGTGCGCCCGAGTAGAGAATACTCTCCATGGCTCCTCAATGCCCGTCAATAGTTTTGTTGTTACATGGCTTCTTGTGGCCATAAGCCAATAAACTCCTTTCAGTTATCCCAAAGACTTGAATTACAAGTGGCGTTCTATAAAAAGCTAACGGATTGTTTTCTTCTTCGAATCGAGAGAAGATCAAGTGGAAAGCCCCCGTCCAGTTGTTGTTTTGGCTTCATGTCTGAGTTGCTGGGAAATTAAAGCATTTTTGGTTCGATGCGTATTGTGCGCTTCCATTTGGAACCATGGCAACGTTGTGGCTCCATTACACCCAGCCCAGCACCCTCTCCCTCTATTGGCATACTCTCGCCTCATGTGCTTAGGCGCCAACGGCCGCCCAGCATTGAAGATTTTCCCAGCCCAACGGCGAATACGGAAACCCTACGTTTGCGGCTGCTCAGAGATCAAGAGCGTAAAATGAAAAACCGTTATCCGCAGAGCGTTAAGCGTCTGGCGACCCTGTGTAGTGATATTTTGGCCAAATATGTGGGTGAAACAAACACTCTCTCTCTCTCATTCTCTCTATCTTTCTCTCCACCTCTCTCAAGAGAATTTTTTTATGAATTCATTTATTAATTTTTCCCCTCTCTTCCCTTTAGCCCCAAACATTTGCCCTACAGCCCGGGGAGGGCAACCTAAGATCCCGCCAAGACTTGGGTAGCAGCGGTGTGGAGGACATGACCATGCTGGAGGATTTACATGAAGCCTCTCTGCTATGGAATTTACGTTTGCGCTATGACAAGGGTCTGATCTACACCTTTGCCGGCAGTATCCTGATTGCCATCAATCCCTATAAAATGTTTCCGGACTCCTATGGCCTGGAGGTGGCCAAGCAATATGCCGGCAAGCCATTGGGTACCATGCCCCCGCATCTCTTTGCCATTGGAGCGGCGGCCCATGCCTCGCTGCCCTCACCCCAGGTGGTGGTGATTTCGGGAGAGTCCGGCTCGGGCAAGACGGAATCCACGAAATTGGTCATGCAGTATCTGGCTGCTGTGGTGCCGGGCGGAGGCTCTGCCTCGGCAGTGATTACAGAACAAATTCTAGAGGCCGCACCCCTGCTGGAGGCCTTTGGCAATGCCCGTACCACCCGCAATGACAACAGTTCCCGGTTTGGCAAATATTTGGAGGTCTATTTTAAGAGCGGGGCCATTGTGGGAGCCAAAATTACCCAATATCTGCTAGAAAAGTCCCGCATTGTTACCCAGGCCCCGGGAGAACGTAACTACCATGTCTTCTATGAAATGCTGGGTGGCCTGTCGGAGAGTGAACGCACCAAGTATGGCCTTCTGGAGGCGGATAAATATTTCTATTTGAATCAGGGCGCCACGGATTGTGCTCCCGGCCGTGTGGACTGGGATTCATTGCAGAGCGCCATGCAGGTCTTGGGTGTGTCGGAGGGAGAGCGAGAAGGCATAATCCGGGTATTGGCCTCGGTTTTGCACTTGGGCAATGTCTATTTCCACAGGAGACAGCTGAGACATGGCCAGGAGGGAGTGGAGGTGGGCTCCGATGCCGAAATCAAATGGGCCGCCCATTTGCTGCACATCTCCGCCGAGGGTCTACATCGTTCCCTAACCAGTCGCATAACAGAGGCCAGATCCGAGCGTCTACACACCCCGCTGAGCATTGACCAGGCCCTGGATGCCCGTGATGCCTTTGCCAAGGCCTTGTATTCAGGTCTCTTCAATTGGCTGGTATCCCGCATCAATTCGATTGTCCAAAAGGGTGGCACCCATGATGCCCATCGCATTTCGATTTTGGACATCTTTGGCTTTGAGGATTTGGCTGAGAACTCCTTTGAACAGCTCTGCATCAATTATGCCAATGAAAATCTCCAGCTGTATTTCAACAAACATGTCTTCAAGCTGGAACAGGCTGAGTATTCCAGGGAGCGCTTGGAGTGGACCCCCCTGACCTGGGATGATAATTTGCCGGTGATCCATTTGTTGGCCAAGAAGCCGGTGGGCATTTTCCATCTACTCGATGATGAGTCGAATTTCCCCCGAGCCTCGGACATGAGTTTCCTGGAGAAGTGCCACTACAATCATGCCCTGAATGAGCTGTACTCCCGGCCCCGGGTGGGAGCCCAGGAGTTTGGCATAACCCATTATGCTGGGCAGGTTTGGTATTGTGTCGATGGTTTTTTGGATAAAAATCGTGATGCCCTCAGAGGTGATGTCCTGGAGCTGCTGAGTTCCAGTAAACTGCAATTGGTCTCGGATCTGACCAAGCAGTTGAGGGCCCAAAGAGATTCCGGGAAAACTTTGCCGAAAGGAAATAATGGCCGTTTTGTGACCATGAAACCCCGGACACCCACGGTAGCAGCCCGCTTTTCCGATTCCCTGCAGCAACTGCTCCAGTCCATGGGCCGCTGCAATCCCTGGTTTGTGCGCTGCATAAAACCGAACAACGAAAAGCAGTCCCTGAAAATGGACATGCCCTGTGTGCTGCAACAGCTGCGCTATCTGGGCATGTTGGACACCATTCAGATCCGGCAGAAAGGCTATCCGGTGCGCCTACGTTTTCAACATTTTATTGAGCGCTATCGCCATTTGATGCGGTCGCCTTTGTCAAGGGGTACTCCATATCGTGAGCTGTGTAGGATCCTGCTAGAATCCATGCCTGGCACCGGAATTGAGGGTCCCGACTATCAATTGGGCGCCACTAGAGTTTTCCTACGGGAGGCCCTGCATCGCATGCTGGAAAGCAGCCGCTCAGATCGCCTGAAAACCGCCGCTGTGGTCATACAGAAACATGTCCGCGGCATGCTGGCCCGACGCCAGTTGATACGCAAGAAAAAGGCAGCCACCCGGATCCAGGCTCGCTGGAGGGGTCATCGTGAGGCCAAGAAATTCCGTGAACTACGCCAGTCCACCATCAAGGCCCAGGCCTTGTGGCGCGGTAAAATGGGTCGCAAGCGAGCGGTAAAATTGAAGGCCGAGTATCAGCGACGCCTAGAAGCCCAGCGGGCTCAAAAGGAACGCGAGGCCAAAAAGCAGGCCAAGGAGAATTTGGAGCGCAGTCAAATTTCATATTTGGATATACCGGCCGAATTGGCCTTTATCTTTTCCAAGAGTGAGGGCTGGACCCCGGTGCATGGTGACCGGCATTTGGTCAAGGTGGTGGGTACCGTGCCCGGACCCCCAGTGGCAGCAGATCTGCCCAAGGATTTGGATCAATTTTCATTCGGGAAATTTAGCTCCGTCTACTGTAACGGCATGCGTCTGACGGTGAGAAGGGAACCCATTACCACTCCCTTCCTCTCCAGGGCTGCGTCCAGGGATCAAGATTTCCAGGATTCCTTGGCCGTGTTCAAACTGATTCTACGCTGGACAAATGACAAGACTTTGGATGGCAACAAGGAAAAGGTGCTGGCCGATTATATTGTCCACAAGGGTCTATCCTCCCGTGGCCTGAGGGATGAAATCTTGGTTCAGCTTTGCAATCAAATCTACAACAACGATGAACTGCAGGCCCAGCGTCTGTGGCAGTTGATGGCCCAATGTTTGTCCTGTTTCCAGCCAGGACCGGCCTTTAGCAAATATCTCATGAAATTTATTGTGGACAATGCTCCGGACTCGTTGCGGGACATGCTGCTGAAGAAGATCTTACGCAACGGCGTGAACTCCAATCATGCCAATAGTTCGAGAAATTTCACCCCATCCTGGGTGGAATGGAGGGCCATATCGCGTATGTCCGACATTGCTGTGTCCTTGACCATGCCGGATGATAATGCCCAGACGGTGGCCATTGATTCCTGGACCACCTGTGAGGAGGCTGCCTCCTTGGCCGTATCCACTTTGGGCATCTCCAATCGAGGCTGGACAGTGGTGTTTGATGATGGCAAACTGTTGACGGATTCCTGTGGCCTGGACTATGTGCTGGATTTGATTGCCGAGAAGGAGCTGTGTCCCGCCTTTCCGGCCTTGCGCAGTGATTTAATGACCACTGGGGCTAAATTCCACAGAACTGTGTTGAGTGGCGAAGCGGGAGACACCAATACCCCCAAGAGGCCCCAGGTACCACCTCCAGAGCCACCACAAAAGCTGAAGACCCCCACCACCCCAGTGGAGTCTCCCATTTCAGATTCCAATGATGAACAGCCCATAAGGAAAAATTCCCGTAACATTTTGTCCCGCAACTCGGCCCTCAACGATCGCTATTTTGAGCAGGAAAAGTCCCGCTCCAAGTCACTGGATGACCTGTTGGCCGGAGATGTCACCGACTTGGATGCCCACACCGAACCGGAACCCTTGGCCGAGATTGGGCTCTCCGAAAGTCGTCTCAACGAAAGATATCATTCCGCCGAAAGGTTGACTCCCATGGGTAAGGAGGCAGCACCACGTTATCAGAAGTCACAATATGCCGGCCGGAGGTCTCATGGTGGTTCCCATTCCAGTAAATATATGGATAAATCGGAATACGCCACCCGATCGTCAGCCATGTCGGACACCAGTGAGGCTCCTTCGCTGGCCTCCCATGTAAGGAGGGTTCGAGTGCCTTCACAGGCCTCAGATGTGGATCAATTCTTGGATGATTTGTTTAGTCCCGTATTGGATGGTTCGCTGGATGAGTTGTCCGATGCCAGATCCCTGGCAGCCAGTATAAGGGGAGGGGGTGGCAATGAGGAAAAGGAACATTTCCTAGAAGCCCCCGACTGCTATAACTTTGGAGAATCTTTGAATTGGAACAGTGACTTTTTGAGCGGCAAAATCGAGGGAGGAGGGGAAGGCAGAAAGGAGGAGGAGCAAAAACTGGAAGAGAATTTGAACAAAGAAAATTTCCTGGAGGCTCCCGACTGTGATTTCGGCGAATCCTTGAATTGGAACAGTGACTTTTTGAGCTGCAAAATCAAGGGAGGAGGGGAAAAGGGCCGCCGAGCCTCGGAGCAGGATCAACAGGACTCAGGCTCGGCCAATTTGGATGACTACATTACGGGCCTGTTTAAACCAATTTTTGTCAATGAAGCTGTCAAGGTGTTGACCGAACATTCGGAACTCATCGACAGCATTAAAGGCGGTGGCGCCCAAGCTCAGACCACCTCGACCAGCAGCACTTTTGTCAGTGGCCCCATTAGCCCCATTCTAAATAATTCCGAAAATCTTTTGCAAATGGTAACCATCCCTCCCGATGCTGATCCCTCAGCTTATCAGCACCAGGTGCAGCGGGCATTTTTGCAATCGGCCATGGCCCAAAACTTGCAAATCCAACAGCAGCTTTTGGCCCAAAATCAGGCTCTGCAAACGCTGCTGAGTCAACAGGACACCACGGTGACAGGCACAACCTCGCCACCCTTGATTGCTCCCATAATTCCACCAGTTGTGAATAACCTTGGGGCCACCTCCACCACGGCCATTTCGAATAACATGACGGCCAAAATTTCGGTGGTTTCCAATGAGTCAGCCGGTCCCATGGGCGGACGCAAACAAAGTGTCAAGAATCGCATTTCCCAGTTTTCGGAAGGTGAAAGGAATCGCAAGGCCTCCTCCGACAGTGGTGGCTCGCTGATACCCCCTCCCCCACCACCACCCATGCCACCACCAATTGAGGTGAAAGATCCCTCTGAGACTCGGCACTTTTTGGATCCCTATGGACGGGCCAAGACGGTGCGCATTGGCAAATGGAGATGGCCACCACCACAGGATGGTCCTCAGTTTGAGACGGAGGAGGATTTCTTTGCCTTCAAAATGCGTCAGCATCAGAGGAAGAACACGCCCCAGTCGCAGTTCCATAGCAGCAATGGTTCCTTGACAGGTTCCGCAATGGAATGGGAGGAGTTTGAGGTCCATGATGGAAATTCCAAGAGCCCTTCGCCGGTGGTTTCTATGCCAGTGCACACCACCCAAATGGTGAGGACCCAGATTAAGATTGAGACCGGAGGAAGGCAGAGCAACAAAAACGAAATGCAACAACAAATACAACAACACCAACATCAGCACCAGTCATATCAGCAGCAGCAACAACAACAACAGCAGCAGCAGCAGCATCATCAACAACAACAACAAACGATTGTCACCACCAAAACCACAAAGAAAAGCTTTGAAATCGGTGCCGATCGCCCACCACCGGGTAGCGTGGGAAAACTAAAACTCAGCTCTGAGATGCGCCAACGCCTGGAACAGGTCACCGCAGGCCATTCGGTACGCTCTACGGTCAGCACAAAATCTGAACAAAGGACTCCAGCAAAACTGGAAGACACCCGCAAAATGATGCTACAACAACAGCTGAGCGGACAATTTGCCATGATGAGCAGCAACATGGCGTCCAACAGCGGCAACACCACAACCACAGCGGCCGATATCCACACGGTGCGTTCGCACATTGAAAGAATGGAGGAAAAGATGGTGCCCTCCAGCTGGCCAGCCCATGTGCCACCGGCACCCAGTATACCAGCTCCTCCGCCACCCATACGACCACCTGATGTGGCTCCACCGGCACCACCACCCGTTCCCAAGAGTCCTCCCATGCACATTGAGGAGGTCGATGAACAGGAATATCGCACTCAGAGCAAGGATATCCCGGCATTTATACAACGCCAAGATCGGGACACTTTTGGGGCACGACACAATTGGAACGGGTCCGATGACTCCAAGGATGCCTATGACTCGTGGGGTCGTTCGGAGGCCGCCAAGCTGGACATGGTCTATGAGAAGAGCTACAAAAAGGAAATGAAAAATGAAAGAGAACGATCACGTTCCCGCTCACGATCCCGGGATCGTGATGATTTCTCCGAGTCAGTGTGGGATAGGGCCGAGGTGGAGGGCCCGGCCTCCAGTGGCAGTGAAAGGGAACGCGAAAAGGAGCGAGAAAAACGTGAAAGGATCTATGAAATGCGCCAGGTCGAGCGGGAGAAGGAAAGTCACAAAGTCTATCAACCGGCCCCACCCAAGGTGGTCACCGCCACCATTGAGCGGCATGAGCGGCACGAACGTCAAGAACGCAATGAACGCCACACAGACAGTTACAATGCCTCAAATGTGGCCGAACGCAAATACTCCTATCAAAACATGGCCTCGAACAAGAAACAGTCCCTGATCAACTCCCAACCCATAACACCCAACATGACCACCCATCACATGTCGCAAATGTCCAGTGGGGCCTCCCATACCTCAAATGTGGCCAATGTTTCCAGTGTCTCGCACACCCCGGCCACATTCCGCACCCATATGGCCCAGAAATATGAAAAGGAACGCAAACGAAAATCCTCTGCCTCCACCACTGTGTCGCAGTGTACCACGCGGCGCGATGAGGAAACCGATGGTGCCGATGAATGGCCATTGCCGGCCATACCTGCCCCCGTGCCGGCTCCAGCATCCCTTAAACACCCGGCCAATGCATGCCTGACCTACAATCGAGTGCCATGGAAGTTGAGGGTGCGCAAGGAGGTATTCCATCCCAATGAGCCCATTGGTCCACCCATTGCCTTGGATTTGCTGTTTGCCCAGGTTTCGGCAGATGTCTTTGGTGTCACACCATCGCTGCGCATATCTCCGCAAGAGAAGGCGGCCGCCATCAATATGCTTAGTGGCCATGGGGTCACCGCTGAGACTGTACGCAGTCAAAATGTTCGGGCCATAGTGAAACGTCACCTCATCGACATGGCCCGCGAATGGCCTTTGTACTTTGCACGTCTCTTCCCCGTGCAGGGTGCCCCGCAATATCCTGATGTCTCCATCATGGGCATTTCCCACAATGGCCTGTATCTGGCGCGTCGTGATGCCGACTATTTAATTGTTGTCCAGGCCATTCCATTTGCGGAAATACAAAACGCCATTACCCTACCGCGGCCAGCATCGTTGCAATTGAATTTACGCAGTGGTAAAAATGTGGCACTCCATGCTGCTCGGGCTGCTGCCATCCAGGCCATGATTACACTCTTTGTGCAGGAATATCGAAAGGTAAGTGGGCGGCATAGAGAGAGATCGATTTTTTTTCATTGTTTGTGGAGTTATACTGGTTTGTGGCCTTTCTTCAACTGGGAAATGGATAATTTTAAGTTGCATTTGGCTCTGAAAAATGATTTAGTTTTGCATACAAGAGGTCGGTTTTTGGCCACGTGTGTGGTAAAACCTGTTGAAGAAAGTGAGGAAGAGATAAGAAAAAATATAATTAAAATTATGCACACATAAATTACATGGATGTGATCATCCACCCTACAATTGGTCACCATACCTCATCTGAGAAACAGGTAAAAAATATAAAATTCAATAGTTTGGTATTGCAGAAGCAAATTTTTGTACACCAACCAAATTTTGGCTAGACTTTGGTTTAAACTTAAGGAGAGCTTTATTTTAATCTCCATTAAAATTTAAAAATATTTTATTTTTTATTTTTTTTTTATTATTTATTATTTTTTAAAATTATTTTTTAATTCAAATTTCCAAAAAAATTCCTAGAATACCTCGTTCTTCCAAAATTCCAATCAATTTTTACCTTTGTTTCTTAAGTCTTTTGTCCGAGAGACCATATGTTTATGTGTGTGTGTGAGAGAGAGCAATAATGGTATGAGAGTGCTCTCCATACACATCACTATTTCCTTTTTAATTTTACGCTTGTGTCTTAAGTCTTTTGATATAAAATACGTTTTCTTTGAAAAAAGAGAGATATGATTTTTTTTTATTTTTTTAGGAGTTTGGAGTTTAGTTTTCAAATATTAAATTTAAAAAAAATATGTAGCCGCTCTTGAAACACTTTCTCCTACTAAAATATTTTTGTAGAATACCCCGCTCTTCCAAAATTCCAATCACTTTTGACCCTTGTTTCTTAAGCAGCGGTGCTCAAGAAGAAATATATCTTTTCAGTCAAATTTCTCTTTGCTTATTTAAATCAAGAAGAAAACAGTGTTAAGTCATTATTTACACAAATATTTTTTATCCATTTGCTTTATAAACTATTTTGGCAAACATTCGTGTTTAAAAACAATTAAATAGAACCGTAAAAGATAAAGAAAAACAAAATTTTAATTTTCTCTTAAATTATCTCTTTTTTCTCTTCATTTGCTAGAACACGATTTTGAGCTCCGCTGTTCTTAAGTCTTTTGTCCGAGTGACCATATTTTTATGTGTGTGTGTGAGAGAGAGAGAGAGCAATAAGGGTATGAGAGTGCTCTCCATTCACATCCCTATTTCCTCTTTATAATTTTACGTTTGTGTCTTAAGTCTTTTGATATAAAGTACTTTTTCTTTGAGAGAAATAGGATATTTTTTAATAATAATAATAATAATAATAATAATAATAATAATAATAATAATAATAATAATAATAATAATAATAATAATAATAATAATAATAATAATAATAATAATAATAATAATAATAATAATAATAATAATAATAATAATACGCTTGTGTTTTAAGTCTTTTGATATAAAATACTTTTTCTTTGAAAAAAGAGAAATAAGATTTTTTTTGACTTTTTTAAAAATTTGTTGTTTTTTAAATATCACATTTCTTAAAAAATAAAAAAAAATATATTTCATATTTCTCTATCAACAGATACAGATCGGACAATTTCTTGTGGTACCTCTTTTTATTACGGTCAGCAATACCTACCTATTTCTACACAATTCATTTACGTAGGCGATCGAACATATTTACAACATTCATTTGTAGGGTATCCGCTTTGATGTCTCACCAATCCTTATCTATGTTACATTGCTCCGAATTTGAATGTAATTTGATTTTAACCGGTTTCAAAAAAAAAAAAAAAAAAGACGTTAAAGTAATCAATGTTAGATTAATTCATTAATTTATTGTTTTCGTTGTGAGGTGTAACAGCCTTAAAGGAGTTGACTGGCTTATACACTCCAAAAAATGTTATAATCTAATGATAGGCTATCCAAATTTAAGGGAGAAGTAAACGTCGATGTCTCTTTCTCTTTTGTATAAATTTGTGTTATTCCTCCATTAAATAATGAAAGAGAGATGGAGAGACAGAAATTCATCCTATTTGAGCAGGTACTACATTTTATGCACAATAAACATGAAATCGGATGAAGGCAATCTGAACCGATCTCTATAAAATTCTATGCTGTATCTTAGAGTTGGAATCAAATATCGTTGTTGTGGGGACCATTTCATGGGTGTGAGGGACTTGAATATAAAATCGGAAGTAACACATATATGGGACCTATAGCTATGTTTTAACCGATTTTCACCAAATGTAATACACTTTCTTCCAGGCTGACTTCGTTCATGTGTGCCAAAATTTATTTAATTCAGGCTTATATTAATCCCTTGGTGAACAATAAACGTGAAATCGGATGAAGGTATATATGGGAGTTATATCCAAATCTGAAACGATCTTGTTAAAATTAAGCAAATGTATTTCTGAGCTGTATTCGATGTATTTTCCTCAATTTTGTTGTTATGGAGTGTATTTTACCCCTGTGGAGGACAAAAATAACAAATCGTATTAGAAATATATATGAGAGCTATAGCTTTACCTGAACCGATTTTCATCAAATTTGAACTAAATGTGGCTAAAATCGCCAAAATACCAAATATTACCTCCAAATATGAGTGATATAAGAAATGCTGAGCCTATTTCAGCAGTCTTCTGCCACAGCAGACAGAACCCATTTTAGACTCTACATACCAAATTTCACACGATTCCCCTGAAAAATGTGGCTAAAATCATCAGAATGCCGAATATCGGGAAATACCAAAACATGGTGGACTATAGTAAAAACGAAAAATCTATATGGGCAATGATTATGTACCCTAAGTACCGAATTTGTGGCATTATGTTTAAGTACCAATTGGTACTCTAAGTATCGAATTTTAAACAATTCCGTTTGAAAATGTGGGCCAATTCGTCTAAATGCCGAATATCGGGAAGTGCTATTATATGGGAGCTATAGGAAAATATGAACATATAAAAGCAATGATTTGCCACGGGTGGTAGAACCTGTTACAAACCCCGAGTACCGAATTTAAACTATTAAAAAGAAGTAGTCTTAAATGGGGGGCTATACAAAAAACATGGATCTATATTGAAAATATTATGCCTCCGGAACTAGAACCCATTACGAACCATAAGCATCAAATTTTAAACAATTCCGTTTAAAAATCCGGTTTCAATTACTAAAATACCGAATATTGGTAGGCACGTTGTAGAAAAACTAAAAAATATGTGGACCTCTATAGAAATTCTTATGCCACAAGGGGATGAACCTACTATGAAATCTATGAACCGAATTTCAAACAATTCTGTTTGAAAATGTGGCTTTAATTCCTAAAATACCGATTAGAAGGTGAGCTACATTTTTTGGGGTCTATAAGAAAACGTGGACCAATACAGACAATGTTCTGGCACGATGGGAATAACTCAAATCGAATTTTCAACAATTCTTTTTGAAAATGATATTTAAATCGTACCGTATATAAATACCGAATATTGGGAGGTTCCGTTATACGGAGGCTTTACGAAAACGAGGATCTACATATAGATAATGTTCTACCATAGGAGGTACAAACTTTTAGTACTAAATGTTGTTTTAAATCATCAAAATACCGAATATCGTGAGGTAGCGTTATGTAGGGGGAGGGGGTACCGTTATATGCCGTTATACGTGAGCCAAGGTTTCGTCGCAAGAGGTAAACCCCATTTTGAAATCTATGATCGGCATTTTAAACAATTCCATTAAAAAATGTGACTGAAAAGTCGAAAATGGGGGGGGGGGGGTGGGGTTCATGGGGTTCATGTCCCGATATTGCCCAGTTTCTCATCTGACCAAGCAGTGATGAAAATCTTAGGATTTGGAAAGTTTACACAAAAATGAGAGATCCTTAAAATAATTTTTTTTTTTGATTTTTGGGGGGCAGGTACCGGAAGTAGTGGTCCGCCTTATCACATCTTCCCACCAGATCTTGTGTTAGTAAAAACATTGGGATTTGCCATTTTTTAAAAGAATCGGATGCCTATTTCTTGTTTAATGATCGTTATGATTATACAAAATTTTGACACGTTATGGGGGGATGTACCTGTAAGACTTATGTCTTCTAATCTATATTTATACCAAATCTCGAGTTGGTAGAAATACTCAGATAAACGACAATCGGGCTCTTATTTTATATTTTTTATTTATTTTTATTATTTCTCTTTAAAAATTATTAATGTTATTATTCGAAATATTGATCATTTGGACTTACCGGAAGTAGTGGGTCGATATCAACCATTTCCCGCTTAACCTAGGCCTGATAAAAATATTGCGATATTTCAAGTTTGAACGAAATCGGATACTCCATTCGATTTCTGAGGGATATTAAATTTTTAGGGTTTTGTCAATTTTGACAATTTTTTTGGGGTAACAGAAGGGGAAAAAGTGGGCCAAAATTTCCCCTCTTCGAACTTGATTTATGTTTGACAAATAAAAAAAACGATGTGTCAAATTTCGATCAAATTGGATACTCCTTTTGAGAGCTATCGTGCGCCAGCCAAACAGACACATTATCAAATGATATATGCAACCATACGGCTAGGGTTATGAAAATTAAAAAAAATCTGAAATTTGAAAAAAATCAGATTTTTTTTTAATTAAAAAAAATATTTAATAGATTTTACATTTCTAATCACCCAACGGACTACCAACTACTTCTACTACTTCTTTACAAATTATCTATTTAAATTATTATTTTTTTTAAATTCAAACTATTTTTTTCCTTGAGTGTATCCCACTCCACCAGTAATTACAATAATTTTATTTAACACCGAACTTATCACAAACATATGTTTTTTCCGTTTGAAAACAAAAATTGAAAAAAAAAAACATTTTCTTGTTATGTTTGCGCCATGGCAATTTCGAATGGAAATTGCAGACCCGTAGACTTGTATTAGGTATTAGCTGGTCATTCATGCCGAAAACTCGTGCATTATTTTTAAATACCCACACTCCCC